CCGAGAATTCAAGAAGATGATCCCGAGAATTCAAGAAGTTAAAATGTAACCACCAATCTTTCATAGCTCTAACTTGTATCTAAAGCTGCGTTCTCACTTACTCCCGGCAGAGCCCAGGGGGCCGTTTTATCAACGTGTCGTAGTCTACAATTTTTTGTCGGTGTCATACGTCTGCGACAATGTCGTACGACCGTTTTATGAAACGTGTGGCGCACACTTTTACCCATTTTACGAGGAATTCAATACACACAAGATTTCTAACTAGTTCTTTTCATTCTCGTTGTTTGAAATAAATATATATAATTAATCTTATAGATTTACTATTGCTAAAGAATCGAAATAATGAATTGCTGTTTTGACATATTTTCGTAAAGGTATATTAAGCGCACTGCTTTTTAATTGAAACGTAACACGCTGTTTTTGTTTTGTTCCAACTTGTAATTTATATGAAATATTTCACTTTAAAATGTAGCTTTTTTGTTGTTGTTTTTGTTGTTGTTGCGTTTTTTTTCGGAAAGCGGATTAATTTTTCTCATAGATTAGCCTGGGTTCCAGTCTGTCGATTTTTTATGTGCTTCTTGTCGGCAAATCGACATATGAGCCGCGTCACGACAAAACCAACATAATGCGTTTGCGACCAGCATGGATCCAGACCAGCCTGCGCATCCGCGCAGTCTGATCAGGATCCATGCTGTTCGCTTACAACTCTATAACAAGTAGAGAAACTGACAGCGAACAGCATGGATCCTGATCAGACTGCACGGATGCGCAGGCTGGTCTGGATCCATGCTGGTCGCAAACCCATTATGTTGGTTTTGTCATTACACAGCTCATATATTGATACTATCAAAACCAGTGATGTAGTGTTATCTATGAGTATCGAGTATGAAATAGCGCGTAAGTTATGAATAGACAAAAAATATATCAACGCCTGAATCCCAGGCTACTTATAGATATATATATACGTACATGTATATCTCATGTAGTTGTAGTATACTAAATAACTCCCCACCCCGGGATTGCAAATTACGTAGTTACAGTTCGGATTCTAGATTTTTTTAAGAATTAAAATGCATAATTAATACACAATGCAAATTGTGCAGAATGAATTATTATATCTACACTGTATATTGCAGTTTATCATAAAATTTGACAATTTAAATATTGGTGCTTTTCATCCACGGTAACTTTTGGTTAATGTCGCCTTGTCTTTTTGAACTTTTTTATATTCTATTGACTATTTTTTTTCTTTTTAAAATTGTTCTTCCGGAATCATGACCACGGTAACTTTCCGGTGTCCTTTTTTATACCATTTGGTTTTCTTCAAAGAAATATCTCAATTTATGTAAAATTTAGTTAAAATATTATGATTTTTCCAAATGTGAAATAAAATAGATGTGAGTAAAGTTATTTTTATTCTATTTTCGAAGAAATCTTCGGAACTCATTATTAATAGAATAGAGTATGACCGTAAGGGCATATTTGCTCCAAATGAACGATATTTTAGACATTTTTATAGGGTATAAGATTTGTATATTCTGTTTCTTTCTATACTTAGCGCGCATGTATAATGCCCTTATATTAGCGCTTGACATTAAAAGGAAACAAAAACAATTGAAATATGTTTTCTTTTTATTCTGAAAAAGTTATTTAATAAAAATAATGTGCTGAGCATGTATACATGTAAACAGTGATCGCCAGTCTTGACGTCACAGAAACGTCGTACGACAGCCCCAACCCTGTCGTAGAGCTGCGACATTTTCTACGACGTCGTAGGCTACGACAAACGTTCATAAAACGGTTTTAACGTTCTGCGACATGTCTGCGACAAAAAACTAGCCTACGACATGTCGTAGAGCGTTGATAAAACGGCCCCAGGACAATCCCGGTAAGTTACCGGGATGATCCGGGACGATCCGGGGTGAAATTATTGTTGCGGTCACACTTACCCCGGCAGCACTACGGTAGTTCCTAACTAACGACCCAGGATGCGCTCCGGATCATCAAGGCAGAGCCCAGGTGAAGCTACGGTTCATGCCGGTGCTTCCCCGGTTGTTCCCGGATGACGCCGGAAGAGCCCCGGTTGACCCAGGCAGAGCCCCGGTCGATCCAGGCAGAGCCCAGACAGAGCCCAGGACGATCCAGGCAGAGCCCGGTAGAACCCCGGTGGATTGAAAACGCCCGAAAATGATAACATTGATACATAATTTTTATTTAATATAATATCTATTGTTCTAGAATAGTAATTCATGATGATTTTCTGAAAAATCCTTATGCCATACTGGATAGAAGGGAAATGGGAAGCGTTTTAATTCAAACAAGTGCATTCATCGCAAATTGTCGTAATTCTTTTGAAAAGATCCGGGCTTTGCTGGGGCTCTACCGGGATCAACCGTAGCTCTACCTTTATCCTCCTAGGCTCTGCCTGTAGTTACCGGGGCTCTGCCGGCAACTACCGGGGCTCTACCGTAGCTCTACCGTAAAGCTCTACCGGCTATATCATACCCCGGATCATCCACGGTTTGTGCCGGCAGAACTACGGTGCTTCCCCGGTATAACACCGGTCGTTCCCGACAGAGCTAAGGATGAAGCCGGCAAAGCTATGCCTTCCCGGATCATCCCGGACCACCCCGGTGATATTAAATATTTTATTCCATCCGGGGTCGAATGCCGGATGTTCCCAGATCATCCCGGACGTTGCCGGCAGAGTTACGGATGTACTCCGGTTGTTCCCGGTCGTACCCCAGTCGTTCCCGGATCACCCCGGACGTCTACCGGGGCTCTGCCGTGATGTAAGTGAGACTGTAGCTTTAGTCCAGAATCCTTCAATCCACTTAAATTCTTCACAAGACCGAAAACGATTAAGTGGCGGTATTGCCGACTGATTAACTCGTCGGACTAGTAATCTAGGACAAAGCCGTTGTTTCCTTGTACAAAAATTTTATACTCAATTCTCAGTACTGGTCGGTTACAGGAATGGAATCGAAAGTATGCATATAAGCTTATAGCTTTCTTAACAATAGAATAACATAAATTTTCCACAAACTAGTAACGATCAAGGACAAACGTGAAATTCAAATTCGAAATTGCGTTATATTTAAAGAACAAAGCTTTTCTTGAACTCATTAGATTTATAGCGCAGGATATTCTGATTTCTTAACTAATAAGTTAACAAAATAATAATTCAATATGTAAATATTATATAATTATTTAATTGAACGATAACATGATATTACCTTATGGTAAACTACAATTAGTAATTGAGAACTAAAAAAGAAATCATCAGAAAACGGTGAATGAAATTTACATTGTATATTGTAACTGATCACTATAAAAATTTCTGAGAATTTTAGAACAGAACAGAACAGAACATATCATTATTAACTCGAGTTACATAAAGAACATATTAGTATACATGAAAACAGTGGAATATCTGTAAATTAACACAAGACATGGTTATACTTAATATTTCTACATACAGTTTAATAATATTTTATTTGTTTGATTGGTTTTTACGTCACACCAACACAGTATAGGTCATATTCAGACGTTCAAGCTTTACTGGTGGAGGAAGACCATCCAAGCATTATTTCAGGCACGAACTGGCACCTGAGTAGGTAGAATCACCGACGTCCCGTAAGCTATAGCTGGCAATATTATTTTAGGTATATATGCAGGGGAAAACTAATAATTATCATAAGAAATTGGGGAAAAAACAACTCTTACTTGCTCCCGATATGTATCGCTTTTAAAAGCATCTTTGTATTTCCTTTTCCTCTGAGCGAGCATTGTATGTAGCTTATTGTCCGAATTTTCCTTTATTAATGATCTACATGTATTAACTATCGTTTATTACATTTGTCAAGTGCGTTCATCACTTATCTGGTATTCTATATTTGACTTGTTATGAAATGGGACATTTTTGAGAATTTTCATTAAGCATATATCTTAGTATTGCACTTGATATGGAAATTATTAATTCAGTTGAACTTTAAATAAAACAAAGTTACAGCTACCACAAATTCAAAATCTAAAAGTATAGAAAGTCTAATCATTTATTTGTTTGTCAAAGAATACATACTAAATCTAAAATCAAACTGTAAAGAATGAAAGATTAAAAGGAAATCTACTAATTGGCACCTCCAATTACTTTGATTGCATTTGGATGTTTCACTATCACATGTCAATTGAATTGTGTCTCAAACGTTATTAAGAAACCTCCTTCACTTACACCAAAAACAGTAACTAATTTAACGTCAATAAATGAATTCCAGCAGGAAGGTAACTGACACTATTAGACATGATTTACTTTACTACATAGTCACGTCCCTTTACCCATGTATAGATATAAGTCGTTATATATGTTTAGCCAGGGATAGAAAAAAAACAATAATTATCATTCTCGAAAAGACTGAATAGCAAATACCAACTCAACTCTAACCTAAGTTAATATTTTTTGTATGCATCTATGAAATCCTTTTGTTGTTGTTGTTGTTGTTTTGTTTGTTTTTGTTTTTTATTGTTGTTTTTTGTTGGGGGAGGGGCACCAAAGGGATCATATAATGAGATATCTTAATGAGTTCATTTCAAATGACAGCGAATGTCATAATCTTATGTTGTTTTTAAATTTAAAAAATGATATCAATATACATTTTCATGTAAAACAATGCGATCGATACACACTGATACGGAGTACTAAATTTTTTGCATATATCGTTTATGTTGTATAACAATGTAACATAAATATGGCCCAATTAATTTCAGGTTTCCCTGTGGTATTAATAGTGTAACGTATAAGGGTTTAAGGTCCCAATAAGTTATATAATCCATTTTAGTTACATACAAGAAATAACCACTGTTTGATAATCAACAATTGTACACAATAGCCGAAACAATACTATAAGATAATAACTGGATTATGATAACCCACTATCAGCGTCTTTTAAAACAATCATAACAACACTTGTAATTGTCTTTCCGATTTCATTTCGATTTCAAATGAATTTAAATTGTTTAACAAGGCAATATTGTTTTGAAAACATTAATGGGGAGATATTCGTGGCATTATATAAGGATTTACTATGAAAGGAATTGCGGGGAATCTGATATTTATTTTGATTATTTGTCAAAGTTTACAGCTGTGTGTGACGAATGAAAACACGGTCTTTGGTAAGCTATTTTTTTTCGCAAAGTCCCACTTTATATTTGTTTTTGTAGTAGAGTTAAGTTTATTTGATATATCTGTGTGTATCTTATTATATCACTTTTCTGGATTTTTAAAGTAATCTGTTCCATCTTGTACATTTCACTTTTACATGTTTTATTGAAATTCTGTAAATTTGAAACGGACGGAAAGTGGTTCATACAAAGTTACTTGCGTCTAACATTAACAATCAATAATATTCTCCGTTTTAAAAGTGAACTAAATTTCAGCGATAATAGTAACTTTGTCAAGCATGTTCTAAAGAACTGAATTAAAGTTCTTATTTTTAAGTTTAAAGGTCCATTATGCCCCAGATATGCATTTATCTTTATTTATCTCAAAAGCTCTGTTTTTGTGCCCTATTGCAATAAAAAGTTACTCATTTCCCAATTACCTGACCTATCTATTGCTTCTGTTGCTTTTTGGCCATAAGTGAGGGGAAAGTGATTCAGTATTTTGTATTTGTTTACATTTTGCTACTTTTATAACAAATAGTTTCTATCATTTAGAGCTAATTTCTTAAGTAATAAGCATTTCACATACCCTTGAACAGTCATAAAAAAGATTATCTTACATTCCTTAAATGCAATTAGTATCTATATTTTTGCATTTCTTTTGTTGTCATATTCCCTTCGTGTTATATGCGTTTTTAAAAACACTTTTAGACAATTTGAACTACAACGCGGATGAAGTCCAGTGGGTCGACGCCGTAAACCGTTGCAATGAAAATGGTGCGACATTGGTGCCTTTCCAACCGGAACCTGGCAGCAATGGTAAAAACGTTACTGTCGTTAAACGCTCTGTACACTTCAAATTTGGAAACGAAAGCTGGGTTGGTGATTATAAAACATATGACGTCATTAAAGGATCAGGTGATTGCTTTAAAGTTAAATATCTATATATTTTAACCTTAATTACCCAAAGTAGCTGCAATGTATAGCAAGGCAATCTGAAGGACAGCTAAATCCCCCTGTAAACCTTATACCAGCCAAGCCATGCATATCATAAGCACATAGTCTCATGATGGTGATTATTTGTGCCATGTTATTTGAAATCTTCCATAAAGTAAAAAAAGTTATGGAGGACATATAATCTTGACCTTGGGGGAAGCAACCTGGATGTTGAACTGTGCAGATTGATTGTGTCATGTTGATGATCATTTGTACCAAGTAATTTAAAAACCTTTGCATTGTCAAGGACATGAAAAATAGATTTTTTTTTTACTTTGGACCTTTGAGTGTGACCCTGACCTTCAGGGTTGTGACTTGATTATTGTGCTCTGCCAATGGTGTCATAATGGTGATCACTTCTGTCACGTTGTCTTGATGTGGCCATGATGGCCCTGACATCGCTCACCTGTATATAGGCCCAATTTTAAACCAGGGACTTTTATTTGAACAAATTTGGTAGACACCCATAAGAAGATGTTTCATGATAAATATTTAAGCTCTAACTCTTTGGGGTTTTTATAATAAGATTTTGACCATATACATAAAGGGAAAAACAATGTCCCCCTCCCCCCTCGGAGTGACCAAATTTGACCCCAGTGCTTTTATTTGAACAAACTTGGTAGACACTCACTAGAAGATATTTCATACAGTAGCTCTTTGGGTTTTTTAAGAAGATTTTTTAAGTTTTTATTATACACATATAAGGAAAATCAATGACCCTTGGGGTGGGGCCCAAGGGTCCTTATTTAAACAACTTTGTAGGCACCCATAAAAAGATGTTTCATGCTAAATATCTTAGTTCTAGCTCTTTGGGGTTTTTAAAAGAAGGTTTTTTTAAGTTTTTATTATATACGTAAAGGGAAAAACAATGACCCTCTGAGGCGGGGCCAATTTTACTCCAGGGCCTTTATTTGAACAACTTGGTAGACACTGACTTAATAATGTTGATGCCAAATATTTAAGCTCTATCTCTTTTGGTTTTCTAAAAGAAGATATTTTAAGTTTTTTCTTTCAATTGCCATGGCAATCAGAGTTCTGCTTGTAAATAAATTATTTGAATATTTTTTAAAGTTGACTACCAAAGAAACATTCCTGTGAAGTTTGGATGAAGCGGTTAATGAAGAGATGTCGTTAAAAGTGAAAGTTAGACTTTTTATTATGAAATGAACAGTTTTTAATATTTGACCTTTAAGTGTGACCTTGACCTTGAAGGTAGCAACCCAATTATTGCACTCTGCACATCGTCTCATTATGGTGATAACTTGTGCCAAGTTATTTAAAAAAATCAGTAGTATAAAAATTATGGAGCGGACACGAAATGAAGACTTTTATTATGGAATGAAGCGCTTTTAACATTTGACCTTTAAGTGTGACCTTAACCTTGGGGGTAGCAGCCCAATTATTGCGCTCTGCACATTGTCTCATTATGGATATTACTTGCGCCAATTTATTTCAAAAACTTTTCAGTGGTTTAAAAGTTATGGAGCAGCCACGAAAGTGTTACAAACGGACGGAGCGACTGACAGACGGTGTCCATACCTATAATCCCCTTTCGGGATTAAAAAGCGGATACAAACATATGTAATCTGAATATTCATGCTACTTGTATTTCAAAAAGTGTATTGCAATGTTAAGGACTTACGAAATATTTCTATAAACTTCATCAACATTAAAATAATATTGTTTCCAAACCTTTTTCAGAAAGAGGTTTGACATACATGTACTCAAATGTCTCTGTTATTTAACACATGCATATTTTATGTAAACATAATAAAATGTTCTGTAGCAAACTAGTATGCTGTTATTTTATCTAGGGTTTGTACCGTTTAGCATTGATTTCGTGCATGCACCATTCGCTTGAAAGAAAATATACTTGCATATTTCTTTCATACAGGCATTTATAAAATAAGTATTTATTTCAAACTTCAGACAATATTTGATGCACATAAAGATGTATAGCTCACTACATTTTAAATAGATACGCAAAACATTTCAAAGCAATTCACATTATATAATGAGAGTTTATGTTTCTTATGTTTTCAGAAATCAATCTTGATATACATGTACATAAATGCGTTGCTTTACATGTAACAGATGAAAGCTTGCTGACAAACAACAATCTGATGTACGGATATGACCTGGTGACTAAGAACTGCACTTCTAACCTACCAGCTATATGTTCAAATGGTAAGACAACTAGCGCTTGCAAACCAAATTTCAATTCAAGTACCCGTGTTTAAGTTATTTTAATAAAAAATATATAGTATTACAATATTTTAATTTTTCACAGATAATAACACGTTTATAAAAGATGAAAACACACTTGCTGAATGGATTGCGAACAGGGGCTGTAATTTATGGGAACCAGAGTATAAAAGCAAGCCAGTCGCAGAAAACACGAGCTTTGCAAGCGGACATTTTACGTCACCACAGATTAATCACAAATTGATTGGAAATTTCTACTGGGTCAACTATATTGTGCAGGAACAATACTCGAAATTACCAAGTAAATAACGTTTTATTATTACGAAAAATTCTGTCACATTACCTAAATTGTTATACATGCAGTGTCTTATGCAGTTCTGTATCTGTTTTTATTTTATACCGTAACAAAATATAACCAATTAACTTTTAGTGTTAGCACCACGTGATGTTCCACTGTGCATGTACAATGTAGATCATCATTGGGTCCAATCTAATCGATTTAGCCTCGTTTTAATTCCCCAAGTCCAAAAACTCCATACCAAATGCATATCGTACCCATATAGCCTTTTTTTAAATTTTGGAGTCCAAAAATCAATATCAAGTGCATATCATACTCCATCTGGTCTTGTTTTTATTTTCAGAATCCAAACGTCCATATCAAATCTTTCTTGTACTAGAAATAAGTTGTGCCAAATTGTCAAAAATAGTCATGTGAAATAAAGAGGTCATTATACATTGTTGAGAACAAAACTGATTTAATTGGACTCGTACACAGTTGCAAAACTTATGTAAGACTCGGCTTGTGTCACGTCCGATATAGGTTTGATAGCGGTGTATGTATACTCATTCAATAAAAAGCAGTATTGTACACAACAAGGTATATCTTTAACCTCATGATATTTAACACGCATAATTTGTTTTGTTGTGTGTTTTTTGTTGTTGTTGTTTTTTCTACATTTCAATGAATAAGTTTTCACACATTTTTGTCTTGTAAAATAAAAAGTTTTCTTCAAAATTTTGATCATTGCCTGTTTTTATCGGAATAAAGTCGATGCAAACCTAGAACAGAGCGTTCCGAAATAACAATTTAAAGATACAAAATTAAATTTCATTTTCAAATATAACTGCGCGTTTCTTGAGCTTTAGCAATAGTCCCGCAAATATATTTCAGTTGCTGGTAATATTTTACAATGTGGATACATAAACCATACTAGCACCGGTGTATCATACACAGATTGCTAAAGAAACCTTTCATATGCCAAATAGGTAAGATATTTTAGTTGACTGAAAGTCAGAAGGAAATGTGTGTAAGTAAACTAAACACTTTAATTCCCCTTTACTGGTTTGTGTCACCCTTTAGATATTGGATTAGAATTGTATTTTTCTGACTTAATATCGTGAAGAAGTTTTACTCCCCAGTGACCATTTTACCATTTTTGTGGAGATCAATTGTTTTTCTTGGAGCTAACAGAAAGAATAGAAGCTGAAATACTTACTTTCCATTAAAATTATCTATGCCAAAAATAATAAAGTACATGATAAATTAACGTAATGTTTTTGATACGAACACATTTTAAAAATACTGTTTGTTTCATTTAATATGTTTAAAATATGAACATATTCTGGGAACTAAATTTATTTATTCCAAAACTTATACACATAGATGAAAATGAAAGTTTATCATCATCATCATCATCATCATCAACTACTTCAAAGGGACTTTATATTGGACTGGCAGGAGCAATGTTATTTGTTGTGGCTGTAATCGTCGGTGTTGTCTTCTTCATACTTAGAATACGTCGCAAACAGTATGTAGTAAATCTTCTTTATTTTACTTTAGCAGCATTAGCTGATTTATCTTTGTGCTTTGGTCTTCATAAGACAGAGCAGGGGGTGACCGAAGCGAAGTTGTTAAGGTCGTTGACTTTAAATCACTTGCCTTTCACCGCTGTAGGTCACCAGCATCTTCGAATTCTTTTAAATAAGCAAGCTATTCAGCTAGCTTACGGAAAGTCGGCGGATCTACTCAGATGCCCCCAATTCAGGTCCCTGAAATAAAGGGGCACCGAGATCTCTCTCCACCTCTAAAGCTGGAAAGTCGCCATAGGACCTAAACTGTGTTGGTGCGAAAAAGAGAATATCTCGGCGTTAAACAAGTTTTATTCACTATGTAGACCTTGCTAGGAATACCTGCCAATCAAACAATTTCAAGACGCGTCATTTAATACTGCTCATGTCATCGTACCATTAAAATCAAAATATTTTATAAGTGGTTGAAAACAGACTGAGAAACGTTCAAAATTAATGAAAAGTATGACTTTTGTAGATACGGCTTTATTATTTTTGTAAAAAAAAGCATACTTTTGGTAACTACATCGATTGACCTTCAGTCTCATTAAACCACGTTTAAACAAATTATTACTTTCAAAATTTTCTAGGACTAGTCTAGTTGTAACACATATTTTTTGATGCATTAACCGACAGTATATACATATAGCGTAAATTTTAGGGGTACTAAATCTTCAGAAGATCTGCCTCGTGGAGGGAAAAGTTTTACAAGAAGGAAAGAGGCCGAAGAATTAGATGAAAATGATGGAAGAGATAATGCCGCGTTTAAAGAGAACAATCGCATTACAACCTATCACCAAATAAATATTGACCAGATAAAATTAAAATCACCCGACAATAAAGAAAGCTTTGCGAGCGGCAATAGAGATTCTGGTCACACATATTCTATGGTTCAAAAGAAAAAGTAAAACGACAACAAACCGGATGTTGTACCTAGAACGAGTACGAGAAAAAGCGTAGAAAGACCTGGGTACCTTTCTATGGACGGAACGAACACAAAACAAAATGCAGATGGGGTTGACAAGGAATATGACTTTCTAGAAAGCACACGAAGTACTAATAGTTCAAGATATAGACAAATTGACAGGAACGCTACAGATGGCAATATATATAGCACGACATCCTCTGATGTCAACGATTCAACTTATGACGTCACATTTCACCGAGGATCTAGCCAAAAGCGTCTCATTAACGAAGAATATGATCGCGTTATTGTTGAAAGCGGCTCAATGACGATGAATAGAGGCAATTGTGAATCTATTGGAGAACAATATTCATCTACAAATATTACAAGCTCTCCAGTCATAAACCCATGTTATGATAGGGTAGTTATAAAGTAATTATTCTTGAATATGTAGATAATATGTATGATATGATAACTTTATAGAATTAGATTTCGGACAGATGTTGAATAATCTACAAACATACCAATTATCATAAAGTATTGCATATATAAATGAAAAAAAAACATATGAAATTTTCAAATGGGAAAATTTTAAAAAGTATTAACCTCTAATTAACTTTGAAATGAACTTTTAAAAAATCATAAAATGTAAATAAAACGAAAAACAACACACAAGTTTGTAAACTTTTTATTAAATCAACTATTTTGTCATCTGACTGACACAGACAATGTATTAGACTGTTTATTTCATCTGAATTTCCAAGTAATGAATTATTCATTCTATCCAGAATTTGTCAAAATAATATACGTGATAATTTTATAATGAACGGATTTCTCGTGCAAGACATGTTGTTGCACTATTTTCCATCAATCAGCTTAGCGTTTTCCATAACTATAATTACCAATCCCTGCTTCTGTATCATCTAACGTTACATAATAATCCACCAGAGAATGATCGGTTTGTCTATATCGTGGAACGCCGGATTAACAAACAGATCTGTATTATTTTAGAGAGATTGTATGTGTCAAAATCTTACAAATTAATGACATAAGCAAATAAACAAGTCATATAATGAATTATCATATATTGTGAAGTGTTTGTGACAATGAATCCCAGAAGTGCCTCCAGATTCAACGTTCATTTTTTATCCAAATTATATTATAAGAATGCTATTTATGTATGTTTCTTTTTTATTTTAATTTTCCACGAAAAGAGATAATGGACAATTCCAGTTATTTTAGTGCTTGGACACCTGCTCACAAACAGTATCGCAAACAAATTTGATTGTAAACCAGGTCAACACGTGACTATGAGGTTTCCACATGTGGCATTTGGATAGCAAGTTTAATTTGCCAAATTGCATAACAATTTAAGCATTACATTTTCAAAAGTCATAAGGCGTTTACCACAACTTTTCCGCGCAACGTCAAAATATCATACTTCTGCCCAAGACACCGTATGTTTACAAAAGTTCGTGTTGACCTCAACATGGGCTATAACGACGATGCGTTTTGCTATGACCTCACGAGCCCGTATATATATAATGGTTCAGCATAAATTAAAGTTCCACATACAAGGGTGTGTTTCTAGTGTAAAGTTTTGGGAATATGTGGTGGAATTTGTCTAACTGATATGAATATTGGAGTACCGCACAACAATGAATTCTAACATCGAATTTTTATTCCGTCAGACTGATAATTACTGGCATTGTTTTCTTTTGCACCATACTTTATAAGCAACTGTAGACTTACAGATCTACTTGCAAATATGTTTTATTTGATGGAAGACTGTTCACTTTCTCTTTCACCTATTTATAAAATGTTATTTTATGGAAGACTTGTAGGTCGAATGTCCAAAGTACCAGTTAGATAAGTGCAATGGTCTCAATAGAATAGTAAGTTGATTTTTTTATATTTGATTTTTCCGAATTTCTTCAAATGCATAAATCCCACATGTAAACGTCTCTTGTCGATCGTCGTTACTGAAAAAAAGAAGAGAAAATGCAGTGATTTAAGGACGAAAATGCGGTGTGCACATCTTACTATTGTTCAAGTTGTACGGTGCCTAAAGTACATTCGTGATGACATGAAACTCAACACTGAATCGAAGACGATAAAGTTGAAACCACTTAACTGTCGTATGTTTCCATTGCAATTAAAGGCAAGAAGCCGAAATGTTCATAGAAAATTCCAAACAACTACTCTGCTCTTAGTCGAACAGCCATTGCTTTCCGGCGTCAAAGCAAGGCAAACTCAAACATATTTAAATGTCACATTCCTGCTTTACAGCTTTAGCGTTGAATGTGTGTTGTAATATATACTCTGTACCTTATGGTTTTTATCTCTGTCGATATCTCTTTTTGAAGCAATCTCGAGAAATATGCCGCTTCGAATAAGAAAACATACAGGTTATTGTATTACGTTGTCTAATATCTAACTATCGAGCGATAAACTGAAGATTTTTGTAGTCTGGTGTGTTGTGGAGGTTTTAAAAAGGCCGAGCACCTGTACAAACCTAGCGTGATTTTTTTCTGGTCTTTATTCGGGGATTCAAATACTTCAAGTAGGTTTGGTTGATTGGGTTTACGTCACAACGACACAATATAGGTCAACGTTCCAGGTTTACTGGTGGAGGAAGATGCCCTTCCGTGCATTATTTCAGGCACAAGCTGGTACCTGTTTAGAACCACCAACGTTCCGAATGCTAGCTCGATAGCTTCCACACATGAAAAAAAATCAAAAATCCATGTTGGTATTCAAATCCACAGCGGTGAGGGGCAAGTGGTTTGAATTCAACGACCTTAACCACTCAGTTACGGACGCCCCTAAAATTACTAAGTATTGATGATAATATTATATTGCTTAACACGGTGCAAGTGGGCATTGGAGATTCTGCACTTTTCATGAAAAGACTCAATAAAATTGATTCTGACATTTTCAACTCTTTGTTTTTCCTTTAATTGCTCTCGACGGAACCCTTTCCAGAACTTGCATTCAATCAGGTAATTAGTTAATATAATGTTGGTATTAAAGCTTTTCATTTATTTTATTGATTTTATGTCAAACATTGCAAAATTGTTAAATTGCATGTCACAGGAATGCACATGAAAATGTTATAGCTAGCGTTTGTGACATTATACACAATCTATTTAATTTCATTTATGTGCAGGTACGAAGATAGAAATATCTTGAATCTTAGAAAGATGGCATCTGTTTATAGAATATTTTTCCAAAATGTTAGGTAAACCAAAATAAATATTATACAATGTATATAAGAACATTTACTGTACGGGGAGTCTGTTGCTATAACTTTTAGCCCCTCCTATTTGAACAATATTATAAAAACCGATAGATTTCATACAAGATAAGAATTATATAAATCTGACATTGTCCTTGAAATACATTTGTATTTTGTGTATTGCGGAAATGTTTTTCCCGTGGTAAAATTAATGGTAAAAACTTACCATTATAGCGCGTCTTAAAATTGAATTCCATAAATACTTACACGCCAAATAAGCATCCATTTAAAAAAAAATACTCTAACATGCGAAGGATCAATGAATTTACTAGGGCTCATTTAATATAATGCTGAAAATATATTGACTTAGCAACAACTTTTCCTTACACAGGTAATAAATGACGCAGAAATGTTTGAAATGAGATTATGATAATACGTTTGAAAACGATTTCTTATAATGTATTCAGAGCTTACTATAAAGACCCGGGTGTAAGGTTTTCATCGCATGTTTTCGTTTATTAGACAAAAGTTGTATTTTTTTTACAAAAGCTCCATATTTGATAACTGAGTAACTTTATTTTGCCTGCTTTCTGACCACATTGATGAGAACGGATGTTATTCCTCTGGATATTCTTTGAAATACAAATTTAATGATGCTTAAAGCAAATTATTCAACTCAATTTTCTGCAATATTGTGTCAAATATATCTCGGGACCTATCTTAACACATCAAAGCAACAAAAGCTTTCATCAAATCAGTTATATTAAAACGAAATAACTCTGAAACAGGAAAATGCCATGATATTCTACTTAGCTATATGCTAAATTGTTGCGTAGGTAAAGTTACAAAGACATAAAAACGTCTTAATAATATTGCCGGAATCCATGCAATCCACCTGCGTGCATAAATGCATTGCTTCCTACAGCAAAATTATTTTAAATTGATAGATGTGATAAGTTCGCTGTCCCGATTGGGCAATCGGGACACATACACATAACTCGAAATAACGAAAACACGAAAATACGATGGTGAAAAGTCGAAATAATGAGACCATCATGGTGAAAAGTCGATGATACGATGATGAAAAGACAAAAGTACGATGCAGGAAAGTCAAAAGTTTAATGGTGAAAAGCCGAAACCAAGATGATAAAAAGTCGCAAGTACGATACAGAAAAGTTGAAATAACGAAACAACGAAACCTCTATTGTGAAAGACCGAAGCGAAGGTACAATGGTGAAAACACGAATTATATCAAATTTTCACCGTCGTGGTTTCGTTATTCAGCTTTTCACCATCGTGATTTCGTTATGTCGACTTTCACCATCGTACTTTTGTTCTTTCATTATCGTATCTCCGACTTTATACTATCATGGTTTCGTTATTTTGACTTTTCATCATCGATCTTTTGTCTCTGAATCACAATTATGATTTCTTTCTCTTTATAAAAAATGGTTAACATACCCGGTGATGATTACATGTTGGCATAGAGTGATTATAATATTGCTCCAGATTTTTTAAAAGCAATGTACTGGTCTATTTGGAGAAACGTAACTTCTCTATTTATCGTTTTAAAATGCGGCAAAGATTGTAAAGATTCGACCTTGTAATGTTTGCATGGTCTAACACAATTTTAGACAGAAGACAAGGACTGGTCACTTGATAAATAAATGGATGATTAAATTATGTCTAGTTTGTAGCGATTTATCATTTGCGGTAGTGATTATCAGAATAACTTAGGATATGATAAATGCATTAACATTGTCTACAAGTAAGCATATGTTAAGGAATATTTATGTCAATTCTACTCTCCTGTCCATTTTTCGAATGTTTCACTGTTAAAGTAACGGTAGTATATTCCATTAGCTGCTAAGGGAGCATTAACATAGTGATAGCTTTGTCTGTGGTCATTTTCTTGTTATTTTTTTACTTTTTAATAAATGTATAATAAAATATCATTTTGGCAAAAAAGCATGTATGATTCAATAGGGAAATTAAAAAGCAAATATAAAATTAACTTTGAAATAAATGTTAAACGACTATGAAATGTAAATAAAACGAAACATTTGTAAACTTGTAAACTTTACATAAAATTCTGATTTACACAGATAATGTATTAGACTGATTATTTCATCTGAATTCCCAAATAATAAATTATTCATTCGATCAAAATGTGACAAAATAATATACGTGATAATTTCATAATAATGAACGGCTTTCTCGTGCGAGACATATTGTTGCACAATTTTCTATCAATCAGCTTAACGTTTTCCGTCACTGTTATTGCCAATCCCTGCTACAATATCATCTCACGTTACATAATAACCCGTCAGAGAATGATCGATTTGTCTATATCGTGGAACATTGGAATAACAAACGTGTCTTTATTATCTTACAGAGACTGTGTCAAAATGTTTCCAATTAA